TGGAAAAGGAGAAAACAGAACTGGACACATACGTAATTCCCACGTGACCTGCATTTTAATGTGATAGCTGCTGAGAACACTGAGGACTTGCTGATTGACTCAGTGGGAATGAAACTAGGCAACGGCCATGCAGAAAGAGAAGTGGGACAAGCTGCACCCTAAAGAGTCGTGCTGCTCTCACTGTGCAGTTTCAAGTCACAAGCAGTTGACAAAGGTTTCAAAAGTCGTTTTGTGGTAGCGGCCAATTCAAACCTCACTGCACTGTAGATCTAGTAGGCTACTGCTCAGGTCTGGTGCCCACAAACACATCACATCACATCACTGTGAACAGGAACACAGCACAATTCTGTCCTGGAGCCTAGACCAGCCTGGCTCAGGTATATTTTTTCCCCCAGAGCTCGCCGAGCCCATCCTGCCAAGGGCTGAGAGTCTAGTTCTATAATATGGCGCTCAGACAAAATAATCCCTCCCTGAAGCAGGCAGGGAAGCCATGCCCAAAGCCAATCAGGCCTGATCCTGCATTCCCGGCTGATTCAGTGGGAATTTTGCCCAAATATGGAAGGGAGATTCAGATCCATTAGCACAAACAGAGGCCAAGACAGAAAGCTCAGGCTCTGCAAGACTCCAGGCTGCTCTCACTCATGCAGGTGAAATTCCCATTACAGTGGACAGCATCTGCCCCTCAGGAAAAGGAGGGTGCAGCTAGGTCTTCATTAGCTCAGAGCAAAGCCCTGTGGGCTCCTGTGGGCAGGGACTGCAGCTGGTAAAGCAGAACACACACATTGCAGCATAAGCAGCACTAACGCAGGAGTCGCTACCCAGTTTAATTAGCTGGATAATTGCTACGCTGTAGTCTCCTGCATTTATTGCCCTTCCTCCTCCCAGCACCCAGGCAAGAAGGATTGAAAAACAAGCTGCCTAGGAGCTGAGTGCTCCCTGTGCCTGCAACCTACATCAGCTGTGGGGTCTGAGATGTTCTCCTGAACTGGTGCTGCCCCTGGCAGTGGGGGTCACCAGGAACAATGTCCTGGGCCTGGCCATTTTGACATCCCAAAATGGCTGGTTTCTAATGGGGCACAAATGGCTTCTACATAAAGCTTGCTACTTCTTCCATTAAACTGCAGTAGGGCTGCGTCACTCTGGCTTAAAAGTATAGAAGCTAAGAGTAGCCACGATGCTAAATTCAGTAGGCAGAGTGATTTGTTGGCACTGCATGGGAAGGGAAGACCAACTTCAGAATTTGTCCCAGGCATGAAAGCAGCACCGCCCTGAAGAGGCACAGTACTGAGGCCGCTCTGTAGGACTCCACTTAGCTCCAGCTCCACAGAAGTGAAGGACGAGGCAGGGGAGGAGACGGGCTGCACCACGTTCTCCCTTGGATCCTGAGCTCGGGTGGAAGCAGTGCTGGCTAGCGCACCCTGAGGTTGTCATAGCTCAGGCTCTCTCCAGCCCCAGAAGCATGGAGGCATGGTGGCTCTTGTCAAGGTCCTCTTTCACTATGCCTTTCCTAGCAGCAGTGAAAGATCAGCCAGGCTCATTTCTCCCCTCACCCTGATCCCAGTTCAGGTCTTTCCAGTTTGCCTGGGGATAAAGTAAAAACTGGGACACTTGAGACCCATGGCTTTTGTTCAAATTCCAGATGAAGGTCTTATTACAAAGCTGCTCAGGGTCCACAAAAGACTCAGCACAGATTTTAGGCTGCAACAAACCACATTCTGGGACTTTCCTCATTCGTTTTCCCTCTCTCTAATCCCTGTGTCTGACCAGTCTCCACCTACCAGCCAGCATCATTGCAAAGCATTTGCTACAGAAAAGTTCCAAACAGAGGCAGAGAACTTCACAGCCCAACAACCCCCCTGGTACTGGCGCTTTCCAACCTCCTGTTGCCTGTGCAGGAAAGACCTCAGTGCCCAAACACGGGTCAGGCTCCAGATGGGAAGAAGCACGGAGGTAAGGAGAAGAGTCAGGCATGGCTGCCACGGGTAAAGCAGCTCAACCACTTGCTATGGTTGCTCTGTAGCATGCTCACCTGCTAACAAACTCATGGTAAGGAACTTGCCTGGCCCTTGGGAGGCCCGTGTTCAGTTTCATGCTTTTCTCCACTTGGCCTTGGCCAAGTCATTTGGCCTCTCCATCCCTCAGTTCCCCATCCAAGCCATGGAGATAATGTCCCTCCCCTGTTTCTCAGAGTAGAGTGGAAGGATAGCTTTACACATTGTAAGGAACACAGATCCTCTAGTAACAAGAGCCACAGAAGTGCTATAAATACATGGATAAAGAGAGGTCCTGGACTTAGGAAAAAGCAGCACCATTTACTGCAAGAATGAGGCTCGGGAGGGTAACAGCAGTGCCAGCTTCACAGTGCTCAAACCTGATGGGGCAAGCCAGCTCTGGGGGCCTGGGAGACGGTGGGTATGCTCACTCAGTCCTGCTGAACTGCTGATACAGGCACAAATGAACACCAGCTACAACATAGCGCTAGCAGCAAGGTCCTTGACCTACTGGGCCAGAAACATCAGCTTATTTCACTAGGAGCCTTTGACTCTGTTGTCTGACCCTCACAGCCCACCCAACCACCACACCTGTATTGTCACCAATGACACTGGCCCATCTGCATGAGCAAGTTGTGGACCTATTTAGGGAACAATAAAAAATTATAGCATAAGGGGAGCTTGGTCAACTCTCCATAACAGGACTAAAGCCTGGGTCTGTCTCTGGCTTTAACCTAATTGCAGCGAGCAAGTTGGGTACATCTATAACACAACTTGCAGCACTGTTGTGTCCAAGTCCTCCTGACTTTGCTGTAACTAAAAAGTTAATACTTCAAAACGACCAAGTGGCTTAGGGCTGGATGTTTTTAAGGTATTAGGTGCCTAAATACATTTCAAAATCCAGCCCTTGGGTCCTAGTGAAAGACTTAGGGGCTTTTGTGGCCTGGCTCACTTTAAAAAATGGGTCTTAGGAGCCTAACTTACTTAAGCAATTCAATAAAACTCCCCCTTATCCTAGATGGAGATGAAATCTTCTTTACCCCATCACCGAGTTCCAGCCTTCAAGACCAAAAGCCAACTATCTATCTGTGCTTTCTCTTTTGAGCAGGGCAATCTGTCTTGCTATGCTCAACTTTGGAGGGGGATATATGCACATCACAAAACAATGCTGAGCCATGGAAACCATCTTCTGTGCCTCTCATCGTCAGTGGATCCTGCATGAACTGGTTCCACTCAAGAACAGTCCCAAACCAGAAGTTTTAGTTTGGTTTACTAAAGTTCTGCTTCAGCCATCCCATGGCTAGAATAGCAAAGCCTTTCCAAAAATAAACCCATACAGATACGGAGCTGAAGCTGCCTGAGGACCCAATCCTGGATTCTTTTTGACAATCCAAAATTCCTTGTCATCTTCGTATCAGGTCCTAAAAACAAATGCATGCTCCCTTGCAGTTCCTAGATTACATCAGACATGCAGAAGACATGAACAAAGAGGGAAAAGCAAGGAAAGTTCTCCAAAGCTATGGATAATAATAAATGTAAAATAAAATGATTTATTCTTATTGATGTGGTTAGTTATATTTTTAAAAAGCCCTATCCAACCACAGGGAAAACAACAACAATTAATATAAAGCTAAATGCAGTACAACAAATAGTGCTGGTTCTCGGATAGACTTGATCAACGTCTCTTCAATGACTTTAAGGGTAACCAGGATCTATGCCAGCTGACACCCTGCAGCCCAATATGCTCTTGCATGGATCTAATGGGAGGTGGTCCTGGTACACTCCAGCAAGATGTCGTGGTTCATTCAAAATTATGGGCAACTAATCTCTCTAAAATCGCAACTGGCAAAACATGACCTTGCCTCTCTCAACACCTGCCCTGACAGGCTGATCTCAGTCATGTCTCAGGAGCCTGCAAAAGTCTGGGAAAACAGCTTGGGAGGGGCAGAAAACTTTCTGTGGCAACTGGTTCCTGATGGGGAAAAAAAAAATTGTTCGGGCTTAAGCGCTTCCCTATACTGGCACTTAAGCACACAGATGCCAAAATAACGTATACAGGGGCAGATCCAGGGGGGTTGCACTGGTGTCCTGGTGCCCCGCTTTGATTCCTGCTCCATCTAAAATTTAAAGCCAACTGCCTGGCAGTGGCAGCAGCATCTCCAGTCAGGCAGCGCTGAGGGAGTAAACTGACCTCACCGCTCATTATAACTTGCTTGATTCTTTCTAAACTCTTCATTCCTCCAGTGTTAAGGACCCTCTCTCCTTTCACATGGTCATTAACAGTACCACTACTGCAGCTCTCCTTCCTTTCTGCTGCTAGCAAAGCACCTCCCATATCACTGCCTATTTTCTTAAACTCTAGCTAAAAAACACAAACTCCGCTGTAGAAACATCAACTCGGGTGGACATTAGCTCAAGGGTGGCACTCGCTTTCCAGGAAGCCTTGGAGGTGCCGTCCAGATGCTCCAGAAGGCTTGACTTGGTGTTAGGAATCTGGGAAAGAGACATGGAAGTGGGATGACTCCATGACTAAACGAAACACCAGCTTTGGACGATGCTCCCCTAGCTTGCTGGGCTCAGATCTTCCGGCCCCGGGCGCCTGCTCTTGGTGGTGAAAAGCCAGGCTTTCCAGAGAAAACTCTCCCCCCTGCGCCCCCTCCACAGAATCACAGAAAATGAAGGTGGGAAGGGACCTCAGGAGGTCAAGTCCAGTCTGCTCCACGCAGGACACCCCCACCTATCTCATCTCATCCCAGCCGGGCCTTGGTCTGAAACCCCTCCAAGGATGGAGATGCCACCAGCTCTCCGGGCAGCCTGGTCCACTGCTTCCCTGCCCTCCTAGGGAGCTTCTCCTAATATCCATCCTCAACTGCTCTCATCTGGAAGCGGCGGCTGCAGGGCTGAGCTGGGCTTGGGTCAGGCTCTGCACTCCCAGGGGTGCGTGCCGGGAGCCCCCACAGCCCCCGCGCAGGCCAGCGCCCAGAGGCGCCCCGGGCCCGGCCCCCTCACCTTGAAGCCGGGCGGCTGGCGCAGGTCGGTGGTGGGCAGGCACAGCAGCAGGATGCCCACGACGCCGGCCAGGCAGAGCAGCAGCAGCGCCACCAGCACCCTCCGCGGCACCATGCCGCCCGCGCGCTGCCGCATCGGGGCTCTGCTCCGCCGCCGCCGCG